CCCCCCCTCCAGGCTTGGCCCAGGAGGCAGGGAACACTGCACCAGTCTGGTCCCAGCCCCCACCTCCCCACACACCTCGCCCCATAGCCTGAGAGGAGCTCTCGGAGCCTGGGGTTCTGCTTCAGGAAGACAGGTTTCACCCGGGGGTCCCTCCAATGTGGGGGCAGAGAACGCTTAAGCTCTTGAAGAATAAGTGGGACCTGGCCCTGCTCGGCCCCTCCCCGTGACGTGGGGCCCCGCCCACCGTTCTCTCCTCCTGGCCCTGCGGAGTCAGAGCACAGAGTTCTAGGCGGCCTTGCTGACTCCCAGCCAGCCAGCTGCACAGCCTATCCCGAGGGAGCAAAGGTGCCGACCCAGAGGTAGGAGAGCAGCAGGGGCAGCCCCGGGAGCCTCCCCAGCACCCCCAGTCTGGGGCTGGGCCGAGGAGGTCAGCTTTGGGAGCTGGTTCCTCGGCAGGCTGGCTGAGCTGCTGTCTCCCTGACCTGAGTGGGGGCAGGTGCTCAGATCATTAACTCCTGGGGCAGGCAGGGCGGTCGCTGCCAGTGGGGAGTTCCCAGGGCCCCGGCTTCTCACCCTCTCCCTGCCCTCTCCGCAGACGCCCTGCTGGAGGACTTGGAGTCCACCACCTCCCACATCTCCAAGCGGCCCGTGTTCTTGTCGGAGGAGACTCCCTACTCCTACCCAACTGGAAACCACACGTACCAGGAGATTGCGGTGCCGCCCCCGGTCCCTCCACCCCCGTCCAGCGAGGCCCTCAATGGCGCGCTCCTTGACCCCTTAGACCAGTGGCAGACCAGCGCCCCCCGATTCATCCACCAGCAGGTGAGGCTTTGGGGCTCAAGGAGCGTGTCTGGCAGCGGCCTGGGAGCCGAGGGAGGAATGGGTTCCGGGGAAGGGGAGAGGGGCTCTCCCCACCAGACGCCACGTGAGGGGGCGGTGACCAAGTGTTACTCACCTGTCTCCAGCCGGAGCGTGGAAATTCCCTGGTGAGACGGGCTGTGAGCAGCAGCCTCCTGGGGGTGACTCGGACTGTTCCTTTTCCTCCCGGGAGGCTCTGAGCATTCTCCTTCCCGCAGCCCCAGCCCCTGCCGCCGGCCTACGGCTCCAGTGCCAAACCGTGCAGCGCCTCCACCCCCCAGGACGGCCTGGGCCCTCCATGCGCTCGGGCCGGTGAGGAAGAGCACGTCTACAGGTACGGCCCCAGCCCTGCTGCTCACCTCCCCTCCTGCTTGGGAATCCTGGGACCGGCCAGGCCTGGAGGCAGCCGAGGCCAGGGATGAGGCCTGGCCAGGGCCCGTGAGGGTTCTCCATTGGGCCAAATCACAGAAGGCCCGAGGCCCCCAGCCAGCTCATGGTGCCTCCTGATGGCCTGGTGGCCTGATCAGGGCCATCTCCATCCTCCACACAAAGCCTGCGGCCACGTCACGTCACCCGTGTCATTGAGGAACGGGGAGGCAGGCCTTCCTCACACCCCTCCCCACTCTCAGTCCTCTTGCTGTGGGAGACCTCGTCCCCCGCTGCCTATTCTCCTGGAGAATCGGGGTGGCCAGAGCTGGGACTGTCTCTCAATGTGATCTTCCCTTTGTCTCTCAAAGCTTCCCCAACAAGCAGAAGTCGGCTGAGCCTTCACCCACCGTGATGAGCTCCTCTCTGGGCAGCAACCTTTCGGAACTGGACCGCCTGCTGCTGGAGCTGAACGCTGTGCAGCACGGCCCCTCGGGCTTCCCCGCAGGTGGGGCTGGGCCCTGGGCAGGCCTGCCTCATCCTGAGAGGGCTCAGGCTGAGCAGTCTTTCTCTCTCCCTCTCCTAAGATGAGGCCAACGCGAGCCCCCCGCTGCCTCGGGCTCTGAGCCCTCACTATGGCACCCCGGAGAACAACAGCCTGCTGGCGGGCAGTGCCGGGCCCCCGATGAAAGAGACGCCCAAGCGGAACGGGGCCCGGGGCCTGGAGGACGTGCGGCCCAGCGTGGAGAGTCTCCTGGACGAGCTGGAGAGCTCCGTGCCCAGCCCCGTGTGAGTGCCCGGGCTTGCCAGGGGGGCTCGCTCGTCAGTGCCCGTGCTCCGTGCCTGCCCACTCAGCCCCATGTCCCCTGTTCCCTCCATCAGAGCCTGTGGTCTGCCAGACCCTGCACCAGGCTCTGGGGGGATAGTGACGAGTCACACGGACACCATTCCTGCCTTCCTCGAGCCACCATCCATCGGAAAGGATGGACATCACGCATGCTGAGGGCCCCTATAGCTTAGTGGCCATCAGCACAGGTTTTGGAGCCACACAATGGGGTTCAGACCTTGGCTCTGCCCTTACGAAGTGTTTCAAGCCTTAGAGTTTCCATCTGTAAAATGGGATTAGGGGGTGTGGATAATGGGGATAGGGCCACCTGCCTCCATGGGGTCGACCCAATCATACATGTAAAGCACGTGGAGTGGTTTCTGCCTCATAGCAGGTGATGTACATGGTGCATGCTTTCTAAGTGTTAGCTCTTCTCGCACATGTACATGCAGTGCTACACGGCTCGGGCTGATGTCATGGGCAAGCTTGGACTTGGGCCGGAGGACTAGAGGCTTCTTCCTGGGAACGTTGCTGCTGAGCGGCCCTCCCTTCTCCCATGTCCGCGCACCTCAGCTCTGTACCCCTGGCAGACAGCAGCCTCCTCCCCAGAGAGATCAGGAGCTAGTGGGCCTCCCCGGGGTTGGCGGGGTGGGACCCCAATGTCAGAGCTGACATGTTGATCTCCTGAGGAGGGGAGGGCCATGCAGGAGGGAGCCTGGGGCTGGACTTGGGGCTCCCTCTGACTCGTGCCTGTCTGCAGCCCCGCCATCACTGTGAGCCATGGCGAGATGAGCAGCCCCCAGCGCGTCACCTCCAGCCAGCAGCAGACACGGATCTCGGCCTCCTCTGCCACCAGGGAGCTGGACGAGCTGATGGCCTCCTTGTCGGATTTTAAGGTGCCCGAAGCCCCTTCTTCCCTGCCCGTGTCTCCCATCCTTCTCTTTCCATACCTCAGTGTGAGTAGCTGGAACTCGGCCCCTCCGTTTGGGTGCCTTGCCCTGAGCCAGGGGCCCCACAGTGCCCTGGCCTGGCCAGGGTGTGGGGGAGGGAGGGCTCAGCCAGGCGGTGGGCACTGAGCTGCCTCGCAGCCTGTGAAGGCCGAGACATTCCTTCCTCCCGGGACGAGGAGGTAAAACAAAGGGCCCTGTGTGGATGCTGCTCTTGGTGGGGGAGGGCATTCTCTGCTGGCCACGGGGGGCCGTGCGAGCTGGTGCCGGAGCGGTCATTGCCCTGGAGCTCATCTCCCACGCTGGCGTCCTCCGCACGTCCTTGCTTCCTGCCTCTGGCTTCTGGACCCAAGGCCTCCTTTGCCAGCCTCCCGTCCTGCCCCGCTTTCTCCACGGGCCTCTGAATCCCTCAGCTTCTGTCTGTGGGAAACCTAATGTCGGGCAACCGGGCCAGTCCACACGCGGCCCCTTCCTCCCCCCTGAGCCCCCTGCCTGCCGGCCAGGTGTTTTATCGAGCGACGCGGTGCCGCCGTGGGGCCGATATTGACCGACCTCTCCTGTAATTGCTGAGAATACTTTTCCGTGCGGGTCGAACTCTGGCGTTTGACTTGGGGAATCTGAGAAGGGGAGCAAGTGGTCATGCGCTCTTGGCCCTGATGGTGCCTCCAAACCTCCCTTCAGCTGGGGTTTTTGGTGGGAGATGGGAGTGGGGCTTGCAGGGGTGGGCGAGCTACTGGCCGTCTGAGCAGCCAAAGCCAGGCGCAAGTCTGCTGGACCAGCACTGGCCTGAGGAAGCCCCGCTCCCGCGCCCTTTCGAATGGGGCTTTCCGAGCGCCAGCGTCGTGGGGCCCGTGGGAAGCTGAGCTGGTTCTAGTTGCGCACCCAGAGCAAGGTCCCGGGGACGTAGGGAAGGTGGGTTTGTCTGGGAGAAACCAAGCCGAGAATCTGGTTGGGCTCTGGTTTGGAGGCACCAGAGCAGCTGCCTGTGGCTGACCGTCCCTTGATGGTGCCTGGACTGACCTCTCTGGTCACTCTCTCCAACGGCCACCGCACAAGCCTTCTCTCCCTCGTGCCTCCTCTGATTGGGTGGCTCCCAGGCTTTGCTCAGAGGCGTGCCCTGCTGCCTGGGTTTGATGGGGCCAAGGACACGTTGCCCAGGAACACCGTGTTGGGTGTCGGGGTTTCCTCAGAGGCCCAGTCCTCATACGTCAGCTCTGCGGCCACCCCGCCAGTATAGACGGTGTCTCTCAGAGCTGAGGTCAAGCCCACCCCTTGCAGGGAGCGTCCTTCCTCACCTCTCCTGTTTCTGTCTTCTTCCCTCTGCCTTTTGTCTTTCTCCTCCTCCAGACCAGCTCCTCTGCTGTGGCCTTGAACTCCCTGGGGCTGCCGCCCAGCTCAGCTCCATCCTCACATCACATACGTCCTTCTCCTCCTTCTCCTCCTCCTCCTCCTCTTCCTCCTCCCGGGCCCCCTATACTCTTGCCACCCACTATTAAACCCTCCTCTGGAGGCCACGGTCTCACCACAGAGGCCCTCTGCCATGAGGATGATGAGGAAGGGCAGGGACTCTTACCTCCTGTGGCTCCCAGCTGGCTTGATTTGGCTGGCCTTGGGGTGACACCTGACACCCCCAACTCAAGGTCTCCCTCTGCGGAGGGCTCTCTGGGGCCATTTGGTGCAGAGAGCCAGACTCGAGGCTGGAGGGACGCACTAAACCTCAAGAGTGAGCTCTGCAGGGCTCCCCCAGGCCACCCTCGACCCCAAGCTGGGTGTTCAGGTCCCCAGGAGCCTGGAGACCCCCAAGGGCTGTCAGCCAGCCCTGCGTACCCAGAGGAGGCCTTGGCTGCCACGTGGGAGCAGCCGTGGGCTTTGGAGGCGCTCAGGCCAGAGACTCCCCACAGAGCTACGCCCAGCTTCCAGGAAGTAACGGAGCCAGCTGTCGTGGCCATAGACCGTCAGGTCATCTTCCCAGACACCTGGAGTCCTACGAAGGAACGTGGACAGCTGCAGGAGGGGACCAGGCCAGAGCCCGCGGGGCCAGAGGGCAGCCGCCCGGCTCCCGTGGACCAGGAACAGTTGGGTGGAGAGATGCCCGTGCGGCGAAGCCCGATCCGGCCAACCCAGGGACCCGAGACAGCCCGGAGGCCAGCGGGCACCGCTGAAGCTGCCGCCGAGGCTGAGAGGGCACGGCCGGAGCTTCCACAGGCCGTGGTCACGGACACGCCCACCACCGAGAGGATCTCCACCTCTGGCCAGGCAGGCGCGAGCTTGCACGGCGGCTGGGCCTGGTCCTCGCGGCCTGAGTGGGCCGCTCTGGCTAACTGCATGCCGCCTCCCACTGCGCATGTCTGCTTGGGCAGCGAGTCCTGAGCTAGCGTGGCCTGTGACCCGACGACCAGCTCTCGCCTGGGCACTGTGGGGGCAGTGCAGCTCCCGGCCTGGGAATCACTTTGAGTGACAACCCGCTTCTTGCTTGTTTAAGGCCTTTTCCTTTCGATGAGCTCCCCTGACATCCGGAGGTGACATCCGGATGTTCACGAGATGGTTGAAAGCATGAGCTTTGGGACCAGATAGAACTGAATACAAACCCTGCCTCCAACACTCGCCACCTCTGTGACCTTGGGCAACCTCCCACCAGCCTCAGTTTCTCATCTTTGAAATGGGGGTAAAGGTAGACCTTTCCCCCGCAAGGTTGTCCGGAGGGTTCCATGAACGAACGCCTGGAGGCGCCGAGTGCAGCAGTGCCCTCAGTGAGCGTGGCTGCTGACACTTGCTTCCCGCTTTATAGAAACAAAACAAAACAAAACAAAAAACCACTGCAAACCAGGAGGTTATACTATAAACAAGAAAAAAATTTAGAAGATTTGGAAGGAATGACCACATTTTTTATTACAAATTTAAAAAAAGAAAGAAAAAGCCTTCTGTCTTTTTACTAGTCCTCACTTACATGCTCTCAAATAAATAATCCTCATAGTAATAATAACCCTCGAAGGCAGCCAGGAAAGTACGAACCCATTTCAAGGATGGAGGAGCCGAGGCCCCGGGAGTGAAGTGTCTTGCCGAAGGTCAGAGCTGACACCTGCCTCCGCCCCACCTCAGCTCTCTGGCCGTTTTGTTGAGCCCTCCCTTGCCCGGGCACCTGAGTGTGGACTGAGCAGCTTTGGCAGAGCCCAGAGTGGGGCTGTGACAGCTTCCCCTCCCCCCTCAGATCCGCTCCGTGATCAGGAGGAGCCGGGAGACAGGCCACGCGCACCCCATGTCCCGGGAGCCCTCCCCTCGCCGCCGGCTGGACCCCGCCACCATGAGCAGGACCCCATCCCAGGAGCGGCTCATCGCAGAGCTGCAGGGGCGGCTGGGCATCCAGCCGGAGGCAGAGGCGGCGGCAGCGGGGGCGGCGGGGGCCTCCCCCGAGGACTGGATGACGGAGGGCGTCGTCATCACTGTGCAGCCTCGAGGGAGGCGGGCTGAGGGGCAGCTGGTAGAGAAGGTAGCAGGGAGATGCCCAGGGCTCGGCCAGGACCAGGGCTGCGGGCATCCTGGCCAGCGGGGAGCTTGGTGTGTGGGGGTCCTGCATCCTGTGGCCCTGGAGAGACGGGGCAGAGCGGGAAGGCCCGGGGAGCTGGGGGCCTGGCTTCTCGGTGCCCTTGCTGGCTGGGCTGGTGCTTCCTCGCCTTCCTCATCGCTCTCCTTCCTTTCTTCTCCCCAGGTGGTTTTCCCTCCCGGCTCTCCCGTCCCCCTGAGAAGAACCTTCTCTGTTCTGCCTTCTCCTCCTGTCCCTTTCCTCCAGCATCACAGAGAGGCCGCGGCCAGCAGCCCTTCTCCCCCGCCCAGCCTGCCTGCACCCTCCACCCTGGGGCCCTCAGTTCTTCCCTGTGGGTCCCCTGGGGCTCAGAGTGCTGGGGCAGGGCCGCAGGAGGATGTGCCGGTGCCCACCTCGCCCCTTCCTGCACCCCACACTGTGAGGTCCGTGGGCTGCCAGACCGACGAGGACCCGATGTTCCCCCCGATGCAGGCAGGCCCTGGGCCCCGGCATGAGCCCCACCTGTCCCCCTACACACACACACCTGGTCTCTGTCCATAAGCCCAGCAGGACCGCGTCCTTCCTGGAGACCTGGCCTTGACCCTGGACCTCATTTAACCTGACGTCCACACTCCCGCCCCAGCATGTCAGCGTCCTCTTGCCTGCCTGTGGGCTCCCTTCTGCCTGCCCCTCCCACTGCCCCTCCATCCTTTCCCAGCTCCCCCGAGAAAGCCAGGCCCAGAAGAGACCCCAGCCCAGGCCCAGCACGTGGGAAGCCTCTGCTCTCAGGCCTCAGGCCCCTCCCTCCTGGGACCCTGCCTGTGGGTGGCTCCCCTTCCCTTCTCTCCTCGCCCTGGGACGCTCTAGACTTTCTGTAGACCTTTCCTCCTGATGTTGGTGCTGCCAGTGGGGAGAAAAGCCTCTCACCCAGATTCCCTTTGTGAAATGGTCCAACAGCGGGGTCTCTTTTTGTTTCTTCCTTAATTAAAACTGTTTTTTTCTTACCCTCGTTTTCTCCCCTATTGAAGATCCAGGGCCTGGAACAAAGAGCAGATGGAGAGCTGTGCTGGGCGGCTGGCTGGCCTCCGAGTGGCAGGCAGAGCAGCCCCGAAGGGCAGGACGAGGGAGGGGTCAGTGCCAAGTTTGGGCTGTGTCCTGCGTGCCGTGTTTCCCATGTTTCCCGGGTCAGGCCAGTGCGGTGCCAGGCGTCCTGACACCAGGAAGTCTTGCGATGTCACTCCCACCTGGAGGGCTCGTGAGGCCCCTGGAGGAGGTTGCACTTCTCGCCTCCATCGCCCATGTTCAGGAGGGAGAAAAGCCCCAACCCTGACCTGCCCCCCTCTCTCTCCACAGTTCATGGCCCAGGGGAAGACAGGGAGCAGCTCTCCCCCCGGGGAGCCCCCAAAGCCCGGGAGCCAGCTGGACAGCATGCTGGGGAGCCTGCAGTCTGACCTGAACAAACTGGGGGTTGCCACAGTCGCCAAGGGAGTCTGCGGGGCCTGCAAGAAGCCCATCGCCGGGCAGGTGATGAGGGGTCGGGGTGGGGAGAGCGGCAGGTGGGCACAGGGACCTGGCTCCTCAGAAGGGAGCTCCGTGGCAGGCCAGGGCCTTGAGCCACAGCCTGCCTCCCTCCTCAGGTGGTGACGGCCATGGGGAGGACGTGGCACCCCGAGCACTTCGTCTGCACCCACTGCCAGGAGGAGATCGGGTCCCGGAACTTCTTTGAGCGGGACGGGCAGCCCTACTGTGAAAAGGACTACCACACCCTCTTCTCCCCGCGCTGCTACTACTGCAACGGCCCCATCCTGGATGTGAGTTCCGGGCACGGCGGGAGGGCAGCGCTGGCTCACTCAGCTTCACGTCACCCTCTGAGGGGCAGGGGGTGCCCCCTGAGGCTCAGAGCTTCTGTCACAGGCCCGAGCTCACAGCTGGGATTCAGACCCAGGTCTGATGCACTGGCACCGTCCTAGTGCCCGCAGGCCCCCCAGCTCCACCCCAGAACGCTCTGCGGAGACTCCGAGGTGAGGCGTGAGGTGCCGGCTCCCTCCCCCACCGTGTGACGTTAGGGAGATGCCTGGCCTCTGAGCCCGAGTCTCTTCCTACGAAACGGGAGTCACGGTCACAACAGAGCCTGTGACCTCAGCCGCCCTGGGGATCAGAGGAGCGGGCCTGGCATGTCACCGCCTTCAGGGCCTCGGAACCCTGGTGGTGCTCGGAGCACAGTGAGGGGAGACCCCATCCTGGCAGCCTCTGCGCTGCCCTTGGCCGGGGCCGGGCCGGGTGGGACGGACAGCTCTCGGCGGGGGGATCTGTCCCGCGGGCGCAGCTCAGCTCTGACCCCGCACTCGCTTTCACAGAAAGTGGTGACAGCCCTCGACCGGACGTGGCACCCCGAGCACTTCTTCTGTGCCCAGTGCGGCGCCTTCTTCGGTCCTGAAGGTACGACGGCAGGCTCACTAGCTGCCCCGGGAGCGTCAGGAGGGGGCTTTGCTGATGGTGGTCAGGGCTCCACCTCGAGGCCCTCACTCTGCCCCACAAAACCCGCTCCTCAGGGTTCCACGAGAAAGATGGCAAAGCCTATTGCCGGAAGGATTACTTCGACATGTTCGCGCCCAAGTGTGGCGGCTGCGCCCGGGCCATCCTGGAGAACTACATCTCGGCCCTCAACACCCTCTGGCACCCCGAGTGCTTCGTGTGCCGGGTAAGGAGCCCCCTGCGCCCGCTTCTGCGGGGCCCCGACCTGGCCGGCGTGGCTCAGTGGTTGAGCATTGACCTGTGAACCAGGAGGTCATGGTTCAGTTCCTGGTCGGGCACATGCCCAGGTTGTGGGCTCAGTCCCCAGTAGGGGGCGTGCAGGAGGCAGCAATCAGTGATTCTCTCTCATCATTGATGTTTCTGTCTCTCCATCTCACTTTCTCTCCGAAATCAATAAAAATATATTTTTTAAAAAGACGA